CTTACTTAAAAGGAAAATGTTTTTTCCCACTTCAAGATTCAATGAGAGAATAAGTAAAAATGAGCTTTGATTCAGTAGGAAACACATGAGAGATTGGTAGGTGAATTATTCATCAAACTGAATTGAAGAATCATAAAACTAATCACACCAGTCTAGTACTACCACAAGTGTGGTAGGCAACACATTTGGCCTGATTAGAACTGTCATATTTGAGGCTGCATGCAGGCTCGATCTACTTAACTATATGGAGATAAGACAGAATGGGAAGACCTGAAATCTGAAACTGGACCCGTCTGTTAGGTTTGGACGGGGGTCTAAGGGGGGAAGATGGGAGAAAGGTGTAGATTGATAGAGCTGAAGGTTTTCGAAGGGAGTCCAGTCTGAAAGGTAAGATGCTGTACAGTCTTTGACTGCTAGATCACTGAATATCTTTTTCATTGCTACATCCAAAGTAAGTTGATAGTGCCTGTTATGTAGTTGTTGCTTCAAAAATATTTTAAATAAAAAAATAAAAGAATAATATAGACATCCAAAGTCATGGCAACACACACCTCAGTCTCAGATAACACATTGTAAGCTTCTCCATAATTGGAAGGTATATGCCAAGAGAACTGGCTAGATGAGTTGATCCAATAAGAGGGTGATGTTTCCATTGATTGGTATGTAAATAGGCATGACCAACTCTGAATACCTCTATGTCCATAAGAAGTGAATGTTTCTAAGATCTATTTTTCCCTGCCATAGTGTCCTGGTAATAACAAAGTTCAGTTTTTGAGGGTGGGGTGGGGGGCAAGGTAAGTGCTTTTATTAATTCATTTAATCCTCACCAACCCTATGAGATCCTATTTTCAAGAATAGTAAAATGAATATTAAACAACTATACTGTTGTCTTTAACCATTATTGTCCTTGTAATATTGCCAGAGGCTTTCGGGAGAGTTTGTTTAAGGAGTCTGAAGGTATCAAATCACCTAGAGTGAAATTATTCAGTGTGTGATGGAAGCTTAATAACTTTGGCAAATGTCCCCTGATTTTAATTACAGTAAGTCCTCATATAAGGTCACATGTTGGTTCTGGACTTCATGTGAAAGAAGAAGTAAGGAAACCAATTTACCATAGACTGATAACAAGGAGAGTTGAGTTCCCACTGTGTCTCATCAGCATTACAACAAATGACATTGAATGAATTGATGTTATTCAAGGACCTACTGTACATTGCCAAGGACCCACCCTACTATGTATACAGCTTCACAGTGGTTACTCTAGACTAATACTAAATACCAAAGGCAAAACTGTCAAAGAGTTGAATACAAAGTAGCATGCAGAATGTAGTCTTGATTATCTCTGAAGTCCTTTGTTAAGTATAGAAAGATAGAGTGAGCAAATGCTGAGTAGTTTGCTGTACTTAGTAATAGTACAACTGACAACTCTTTCTTGAATTTGGAATTATATGTTGATCATGGTTTATCCATCAGTGTTTTTTTATGGTCTCTTTAGAGAGTGCTGAGTCATTAGCATCATCCTTGCAAGAAAAAGAGAGCAAGTAAATGAGCCATTCCTTCTTACTGTGTATCAAGCAAGCCCTGTGCTAAGTGCTTTCCGTATAACACATAGTTTAGTTTTTAGAACCAACTTGGGAACTAAATATACTAATCCTAGTTTTTCTGATGAGAAAAATGCAACAACATTAAATATCTTGGTGTCTTAAACAACAAAAATTTATTTCTCATAGTCTGAATTCTGAGGTGAGAGTGCCATGTGGGGTTCTGGCCACAGCCCTCTCCCTGGCTTGCAGATGGCCGTCTCCTTGCTGTGTCCATTCAGGGCAGAGAGCAGGGAGAGAGGAAGTGAGCTCTCTTTTGTTTTTTTTAATAAGGCCACAGATTCCCTTATGAGGGCTCCAACTCCGTGACCTAATTACTTCCTAAACGCCTCGTCTGCAAATATATTGGCCATTAGAGCTTCAGTATATGAATTTGGAAGGGACACAGGCATTCAGTCTATAACACTTGCCAAAAGCACCTAGCTGAGGTAAGAATATTTTGTTTACAAATCAACTTGATTGAATTAAATGCAGATTTATTGTAATAAATTATTATATTGCTTAGCTATTTCTATGTCGTAAGAAATTACCACAAATATAAAAAAAGGAGTGTTGTGTTTGATCTATTGATTAGCTCAAGGTTGTCTTCATTCTCTAAAGAGCTGCAAAACAATGTGCATTCTTAACCAAGGCATTGGTGATTTCCTGTGGAAAAATAATTGAGGTGTGTTATATTTAGAGAAATGACATGTTTGTTCTTATTAAAACATTTAACTTTCTTCCATGTGTTACAGCACTTTGTATCTGCTCATCTTTTTAATTTCAAAAGCCATACCAGACTTCCTAGCAAAGCACTTTGGCTTGTAATTTTTGCCTGTGACACACATTAGGTGACCACGGGAACTCTCTGACTGCCTTTTAGAGAACAGTGTGATTTTCCTATGAAAGGTATCTTTATGGATGCGGAACTGGGAATGGCCTAGAGCGGATTTGACTTCTTGCAATTTTCCTTAGACAGCCCCTCCATATACAAGTGTTCCGGGGGCTTATTCCATGGATCGTGAATTGTAATCTCTCAAATTTCTCTTTTCCCAATGTATACATGCTATGATCTCACTTTGAGAAAGGGACTAGAATCTATAGGGCTGGGTCAATAAAGGTGGCTGGCTCCTCAGAGTATGTGATTAACACATTCTGTCTTCTCCAACCAATGGATGGAATGTTGAGAAGGAAATTAAACCCTCACAAGAGGGAAAAGGTACAGAAAAGTCTTATGTAAACTGAAAATGTTTTGAGTTTTTCTCCAACTTTTCAGTTTCTTCTATCCTTCCTCTTTTGGCACGTTCCTATTTTCTTCCTGGCCTGCCCCATTCTTTTTAGAATTCCTTATCTAGGGCCAGGGTGCTCCATTTCAGCATGCATCGGATTACCTGGAGAGTTTGTTCCAATACGGATTACAGAGCCTCTCCTCCAATAGTTTCTAGTCTGGTAGGTCTGGGGTGGGGTTTGAGGATTTGCATTTCTAACAAATTCCCAAGTGGAGCTGATGCTGCTGGTCCAGGGCCACACTGTGACCTTAGACCATTGATCCAGGGATGGTGCTATATCATCTTGATATTTTCATTCATTTGTTCATTCAGTCATTCCTTCATTCAATATTTATTAGACATTACTGAGCCACACAGAGCTTCAGACACTGCATACTCTCCACAGAACCCAGCTTTAGTGACTGGTTCTTTAATGGATCTTTAATAAATGTTAAGTGGCTGTGCAATCTCCATTTTTCCTGAATATCACTGGCCTATGGGTACCAAGCACTTTTTAGTGGGACTGTCTCAAATTGTGCTGAGTAATACTCTGTCCTGCATAAAACAAGACCTCCATCACCCCTCAAAAGGACTCAACTGTGTCACAAGGATGCAAAGGCTCGCCACTCATTTGTCATAACCCAGCATTTCTGGTTACAACGCACTAGCTTCTCGTTGGATGTTTTTTTGTCTGTGCTTAAAGGTAACTAACTCTCTGCTGAGCCCACTGCTGCTGCTCCTGCTGCCTGGGCTGCTTCCATGGCAACCGTGAGGTCCATGCCAGGGGCACCGCCCACCAGTGCTTCCAAAATAGACAACGGCCTGGAAGTGGAGGGGAGCGTGGGACGCTCCCTGACTCTGCCTCACATTTTCTTCCCTGTAAACCGAAGTCTGCTGTGGGTGCCTCTGTATCTCACAGAATAATACTGGGTTGGCCCAAAAAGTTTGTTCGTTTTTTTTCCCGTATGACGGCTCTAGTAGCCCTTGGTCGTCTTTAACTTCATTTGAAACAATTTTGTTAGATTTTGATTGTGACATCTGTCATAACAGTGTGCGTGTAAAAAAGAACTTATCAAAACTGGTGAATTTTTTTGTGTAGTCATTTTAATACTAAAGACAGAAGAAAATATGCATTCTCGGCACATTATGCTTTATTATTTCAAGAAATGTAAAAATGCGACAGAAATGCAAAAATAAAATGATTTGTGCGGTGCGTGGGGAAGGTACTGTGACTGATTGGATGTGTCAAAGGTGGTTTGTGAAGTTTCATGCTGGCGATTTCTTGCTCCACAGTCGGGTAGACAGACTGAGACATTAATTAAGAACTATCGAAATGATACCATGTGGGAGATAGCTGACATACTCAAATATCAAATCAATAAAGTTATTGGTGAAAATGAAAAATGTGTACCATATTTTTAGGACTATAAGATGCATCAGACCATAACATGCACATAGGTTTTAGAGGAGGAAAATAGAAAAAAAATCTGAAGCAAAAAAATGTGGTAAAATATTTAATAACATAAATAACATAGGCCACTACCCCCTGCCCCACAACAAGCCATAAGACTATAAGATGCACCCCCATTTTCCTCCCAAATTTAGAGGGAGTGCATTTTATAGTCCAAAAAATATGGTGTTTTATTTCATGGAAAAAACCGTGCAGACTTATTGGCCAACCCAGTACATGCAAATATCTCCACCACTGTTTGCCTATAGTTCTTTCCAGGAGCTTGAATCTACAGGGCTGCGGAGGTGGGGATGGGTGGGTGAACAGGGTATGTGATATTAACACAGTCTGCCTTTTCTAATCCTGGTTCTCTATCAATTCATAAAACATTCATGTGTAGTTATCACACCCCAGCAACTTACCAGACATGCCACACACGTCTGAACCGCAGTGGGGGATATAACTGAGTCTCAAAAGTACTAGATATGATGGAAATAAGGACCCCAAGTTTCTCTCTACCTCTTTGAAGGTGTTCGTTTATAACCCCAGTGCATTTCTGATGTGCCAGATTTAATCTAGAGTAACCAGAGTCTTCCTTCTTTTAAAAGTACTCGGCAGCCTATTTCTTTTACATGAACTATGCCTTAGGTGAGGAGAAGAGAGATAATTTGTAGCCAAAGAATCAAGACAGTTTTATACAACCTTTATTCCCCTCCACAGGCTGAAAACCACTGCTGCTCGGGTTATTCTATCCTAAGCCGAGAATGACTTGGGCCAGGTGTCTCTCCTGGTTCCGTTTGTGTGGTCAGGCAGCGGGGATGGCAGGCAGAGTATTGAGCCCTTCAGCATCCACAGCTGAAATAGAGAAGTTTGGTTTCCTAGATTGTCCAGAGGCAGCAGAAGGATAAAAACCCATTGCCTGATTATCATTCCCTCACCACTATCTCATTCAATCATCAGAGAAGCTGATGAGGTAAGTGGTGTTAATAAATCTTCTCTTAGAGATGGAAAGTGAAGATTAGAGAGGTCAAATTACTTGTCACAAGTCACTTGAGCTAGTCAATGAAGGCGGGAAGCTTCAAACCAAGGCTTTTTCCCTCCGGAGTCCCTTCTCTCAACATTATAGCCTTCAGCCTGCACTAATCCCTTTCTCGTTCCTAACAGGAAGCAATGTATTGCTGTTCTCCTAATAAGGAGATATTTGGTGGGGGAGGGAGGGAGTAAAAAGGCATTCAACCAAATTTACTAAATCATAGAATTCTTATCTAAATCCTAAGCATTTTCCACTAAAAAAAGTTGCTTTATTAATGGTTAGCAGAGCCCCCCCCCCCTTTTAAATCTGGCTTCTGCCCAAGGTGTACTTTTAATTTTTAAAGAGTCGAATCATTTATTATTTTCAATATGTGAAAGCAGTAAGGTAGTTATAATAAAACAGCTCTCTCATGGTTTCCTTTCAAGAAGTTAGCATTTACTGTCTAGAAAATAAGTCTGTGCTTATAAAAATGTGCTTTAAGAGTTTTGGAGCACAAAGAAAGTTGCTTCGGTGCTTGAATCTTTAAAAAGTTTATATCCCAAATCAACTGGTACTTCTAGGCTCAGTCGACACTGGAATTGCAGCTCCTCTTTCCCCCAGGTGGCAGGCTGCTTACAGAGGAAGAGAGGTATGAGTTTTAACAGTGCTAAAGTAACAGTTCTATTGTAATTTTTGTCACTTGGAAGTTTATTCCTTCCTTCTCTATAGATTACAACTCGTTAATCTCCTTTGCTTTGTAAAAATGTATTTTTAGAATTGTATACCAAACTCTGATCTCTTACACACACCCTGGTATCACAAACTTTTTTTCCAGGGGGGGAAACAATACTATCCCCTTCCTCCCTTCTGGTTCTATTGGCCACAAAAGCCAAAAGAATAAGCCTTAGTGAGGCGCGGAGGTCATCCACCCCTGCCTTTGTGCCAGGACAAGCAAACTACCTAAGCCAATTACTAACCGGTTTTTAAAAAAAACCTCCAATCAGAGAGAATCCATGACTTTTTTTTTCTTTTGTGAACTGTTGCTCCATTCAACTGCACACTCTAAAAGTCTTGCCCTATCTATGTGCACCCTTATCTCACTGTTCTATTTTTTTCCTCATTTGCGTTAACCCTTTCTCACCTTTTTTGAACCTCCAGGCCTCCTTAGAAGTGGTGGGAGACAAATGTTTCTCCGCAAACGGTCGAGACGGTAAGGTGAGTGGTAGACCTAGGAACCCTGGTGCTTTAATCCCCAGCTAAGTGGGATGGACAGCGAGGTGGGGTGATAGCATTCCTCATTTTATAAGGTATTTATTGTGCGGCTAAGCAAACACTCTCAATTCAACCATGAGACTGACGCTTTTGAGTCTGTTTCCAAACAGGACACTAGAGGGCACCCAGGGGTTAAAAATAAGTGGAAAATTACTTGAATGAAAACTGCTCTGTACGGCATTTGCTTTTGCAGAATTTAAAATTAAAGTTTATTTTCTAAACAATTAAAAAATTCCTCTCTAAAATTGGGATATAAGCAACCGGTGTTCAAGCAACTGGAATTGTTTTGTTTTGCTTTGTAATCAGTACTTTTCAAGGGAGCTTTTAAAGCCGAGCTGAAATATTTGAAATGAGGAACATTCTTGACCATGAAATATGTTCTACTTACATGCCTCAGCCTTTAAAAGTTCTTTGCATTAGAGTCGGGGATTACATTGTTTCTGGAGCCAAGCATGGGGCCAGCTGTGTAAGTAAGGTTGCTTATGGTTTCTTCTTCTTTTTAATAACATGAGAAAAAAAAAAAACAGTGCAAGAGATCTTTTTATTTTCTTTCAGCTGATTTTGGAGGAAAGAAAAAGAATAAAAAGCAGTCGGATTTGTGTATTGTGTTTCTGTGTGGGTGTGTGGCAATAAATGTAACTGCTTTTAAGTTATATGGGTATTTATGGCTTTTTATCATAATAACTAGTAATGTAAAGTAATGGAACATTTTGAAGAAACATTGTAGTGTTAGATTAAGAGAATGTATTTCTGAACTTGAATGCTAGTTATTTAGTTAACTAATTAGTGCAGGATTTTAAAAATCCATATGGAATAGCTGTAGATTTAAAAAAAAATCTATTCTTTTTAATTATTTCTGAATTTCAGAAAGGAAGAGACTGGATTTGTCAAATTTTAATGCTTTTCCTTTAGAATCAAATTAAATTAGTGATAAGTTATACAATATTCTTGGATTTTTGTGGCTTGTTCTCACTAGTTTATACTATCAATTTATATGTCTATCTTGTTTCTAGTTTTTACACTTCATTAAATAAAAAAAACATTTAGTGGTGATATTTATGAAAGGAAAGAGTCACTTTTTCCCTTTAGTCTCGTAGAGGAACCTAACTAGCATGAGGCTGTGACTCAGTTAACTCTGTTTCCATTCATTCCCAGGAACAAGCCGTACTTCTCCTTGGGGAGGCTGATGGGAGTTTAAAAGGTTTGTTGTGGCGGGTGCCACAAACACTCCCAACCCCGTCACCAACCCTCTACTTCCATCTCTGTCCACTGTAAACCACGTAGACACCTACGCAAAAGCGACAGCTGGATTCAGGAAACCATGCATCATGTCACCAGGAGACAACTGCAGACTTTAAACTGTGTTCAACATGTGGATGCGGCAGAGAAATGACCTGTCCAGACAAGCGAGGGCAGCTCATAAACTGGTTCATCTGCTCTCTTTGCGTCCCGCGGGTGTGCAAACTCTGGAGCAGCCGCCGACCAAGGACCCGGAGGAACCTTCTGCTGGGCACTGCCTGCGCCATCTACCTGGGCTTCCTAGTAAGCCAGGTGGGGCGCGCATCGCTCCAGCACAAACCCACCGCGGAAAGGGGGCCCCACAAGAGCCGAGACACCGCCGAGGCACCCTTCCCTGAGATACCCCTGGATGGTACCCTGGCCCCTCCAGAGTCCCAGGACAATGAATCCACCCTGCAGCCCAATGTGGTGTACATTACCCTACGCTCCCGGCGAAGCAAGCCTGCCAATATCCGTGGCACAGTGAAACCGAAGCGCAGGAAGAAGTATGCAGTGGTGTCTCCAGCCCCAGGGCAGGAGGCTTTGGTGGGTCCATCCCTTCAGCCACAGGAAGCTGCAAAGGCAGCTGATGCTGACGTGCCCAGCTATGTCCAGAGAGGAAATCTGGCCAACGTTGGGGAAAAATACCGGAGGTTGATACGGGGTCCAGGAGTGCGAGTTGGGGGTTCAGATTTACAGCCGCCGAAGGCCAGGGAGAGCAACATCAGGATCTACAGCGAGAGCGCCCCCTCATGGCTGAGCAAAGAAGACATCCATAGAATGCGACTGTTGGCCGATGGTGCTGTGGCCGGCTTCCAGCCAGTGTCCTCAAACAGCCAAGTGCGCTTGCTGTTGTTCCAGGGGAGTGCCCCTGGCTCTGTGCCTGGCTGCGGCCCTAGCCCCTGCGGGCTGGTCAAGCAGCCTTTGGACATGAGTGAGGTGTTTGCCTTCCACCTGGACAGGATCCTGGGGCTCAACAGGACCCTGCCTTCTGTGAGCAGGAAATCAGAGTTCATCCAAGGTAACAGCTTCACATGCTTCGGTCTTTGCAGCTGTTGGGGTTTGGGCTTGATTTTCTCTTTTCTCTCACTCTCTTTTTCTGAACGATTTTCTCCTCCCACGTTTCACATTTGGACAGCAGCAGCAGCAGCAGCAGCAGCATCTCTTTCCATATGCTTGGCATTCTTTATTTTCCCAGCTTTGCAAGGATAGGAGAGTTTCAGGGAAATGCTGTACTCAACATGCCTACAGTGTATCAACTTTGCTCCCCATTTCCCTTACTGCACTTCCCAGTGGCTTATTAAATCTAATTAAAGCCAATGGCAATTTGCATGATGAGGAAAGGAAGCCAGGGTGGAGGCAAAGATCTTGTTGACAGACATGTTATTAGGCAGGTTATTATGGAAGTAAGCAAAATTTTGTTTGTTTCCCAAAGTAAGGGGGAAGTGGGTTCTCTCTCTTCAGCAGATGGAATCTTTTTAAGAAGCCCAGAGCCAGACCACATTAGCTTCAAATTCTTGATTTTTCACAATGGATTTAACTCCTTTAACAAAGAAAGTGAGACAAAAATAGGTTATTTGCTCAGTATATCTGCTGCCTAGCCATATAGTCTTTTAAGTCCATGACAGTGGTTTATTAAGCCTGATTTCCAAGAATCTCTCAGGCGACAGACATTCGGGCAGTTCTGAGTATGTATGTAGCCAGTCACTTCTGTTGCAGGCAAAGGGCTGGTCTGTGGCTGTGCACTTGCCATTTAACAGATATTCTCTGAGTCTGGAGGCTCTTCCAAGGTTTGAATACAAACTGGAGTGAGTCAGTGGCTTGGGTTTAAAGCAGAAGATTCCCAGAAGTTGCCACTGTGAATATATGCTTGCTTAAAAGGCTAAAAAGGACTCTGAAGAGGTTGTAAACTCACAGGTTTTTCCTTCTTCCCTGTCACCGTGAACTTTAGTATTTTAGTGAGATTCCCATGGAGTCTAGACTGGAATGGATTAACACTCTTGGCAGTGGCTGAGAACTAAACTGGATTTCCAGTGGCTTTAGGATTATAATTTAATTTCGCAGCAGAGAGAAAGAAGGAACTACTACCTTTTGCAACAACATGATGAACGAAAGCATTATCTGAGAATAGGCCAGGCAAAGGACAAATACCATATATCTCCCAGGAAGCAAAGAATAAAACAAACACAAACAGAATAAAAACAAACGAAAAAACAAGAGAGGGGAGAGGGAAGGGAACTAAGGGGAAAAAGGGGGAGGGATTTTGAGAACAAGAACAAAAGGGGGGGGGAATGGGAGGGAGGGAGGAGACCGGGCGGGGGGGGGGGAAGAGAAAAAAAAATGTACTTGAAAAGTAACTAAATAAAATTAAAAAAAAAAAAAGAATTGGTACTTCTTGCAATACCAATAACTTTAGTAGATTTGGCAGTTCTTGTTTACCCTGGTTCATATCTGAGTGCTTCAGATTCATAGGTATGTTTTAATGTCTCAAGTTCACAAAATAGTCCATCATGATTTTGTGAATGTTTCAGGGATAACCCCTCAGACTTTTCATCGATGGTTGGTAAAAGCTAAAACCATTTTTAATTGGATGTTCACTGTTTGCTCAGCACTGTGCTGACTGACTCGTATAGTTCATACATGCATTGATTATGATGGTTCTCACTTGGAGCAATGCAATGAGGTCAGCACTGTTATTATTTCCATTTAGTAAATGAGAAAATCGAGGTTGATTTAGGCAAAGTAATTGACTCCCACAGCTAATGTTAATGACAAAGCTAGGTTTTGAGCCTGGGCCCAGCAAGCTTTAAAACATAAGCTCTTAACCGTTGGGCTTAGGTGGCTATTACTTATTTCTCGAACTGGAATACCCTGGAGTAAAAGAAGATTTAGGTGGGCACTGAGGCTGTCCTGGGCCAAGCAGGGCATACAGTCCATCCTTGTTATGTTGTACTGTGCCTCCTTTCTATGTCATCCTAGGATTGTGAGAATATATCTGGTAGCACAGTACCCTGATAGGTCCTTTAGCTTCCTTGGGGTGCTCCCAGTGGGAGTGGGCAGAATAAAGTAAGTGGGTGGGAGCCAGGGCTCGTCCCTTTGTATTATAATTCTTGTCTACTAATCTGTTCCTTCCTACTAGCCTCTAGGTTTGTGAAGGCAGAGGTATTTCCTATCTTGTTTATTATTGCATTTATAGATCCTAGTGGAGAGTCTGGCACATAGTAAGTGCTCAGTAAATGTTTGAATAATTCAGGAATGCATCCTTGGCCTGTTTCACTGGCTCAAAACAGTGAATCTGTATTCATCCTCAGCTTCCAATATTCAGGACAAGTGCTACTGATTTTGGTCCTAAGTCCAGACCAGGATTTCTCCTGGAGGATCTTAGTAAGAGGTCACTGTAGAGGTGATGGAAAAGGTCTTTGGCATCCTCTGTGTAATTTAAATAATGAAGTTTATAGAGCTTTTTCTAACAAAGCCTAGCAATATGGTCTGCTGCCTTACACTATAACTTGATAAAAGAGTTTTTTTAATATATTTTTATTTTATTGATTATGCCATTACATTTGTTCTATTTCCCCCCTTCATTCCCCTCCACACCCCTCCCCCACCATTTCCCCCCCTTTAGTTCATGAACACGTGTCTCAAGTTCTTTAGATTCTATATTTCCCCTACTATTCTTACCCTCCCCCTATCTATTTTCTATCTACTGTCTATGCTACTTATTCTCTGTACCTTCTCCCCCCTTCTCCTTCTCCCACTCCCCTGTTGCTAACCCTCCACGTGTTCTTCATTTCTATGGTTCCGCTCCTGGTCTAGCTGTCCTCTTAGTTTGCTTTTGTTTTAGGTGTGGTTGTTACTAACTGTGAGTTTGCTGTCCTTTCACTGTTCATCTTTTTTATCTTCTTTTTCTTAGGTAAGTCCCTTTAACATTTCATATAATAAGGGCTTGGTGATGATGAACTCCTTGAATTTGGTCTTATCTGAGAAGCACTTTATCTGTCCTTCCATTCTAAATGAAAACTTTGCTGGATAGAGCAATCTTGGTTGTAGGTCTTTGGATTTCATGATTTAGAATACCTCTTTCCAGCCCCTTCTTGCCTATAAGGTCTCTTTTAAGAAATCCGCTGACAGTCTGATGGGAACTCCTTTGTAGGTGACTGTCCCCTTATCTCTTGCTGCTTCTAGGATTCTCTCCTTCAGTTGAATCTTGGCTAATGTAATGATGATGTGCCTTGGTGTGTTTCTTCTTGGGTCCACCTTCTTTGTGACTCTCTGAGCTTCCTGCATTTCCTGGAAGTCTATTTCCTCTGCCAGAATGGGGAAGTTCTCTCTTATTATTTGTTCAAATAAGGTTTCCACTCATGACTGTTCCTCTTCCCCTTCTGGTACCCCTATAATTGGGATGTTGGAGCGTTTAAAGATGTTCTGGAGGTTCCTAAGCCTCTCCTCATTTCTTTGAATTCTTGTTTCTTCATCCTTTTCTGTTTGGTCATTATTTTCCTCCTTCTGGTCCACTCCTTTAATTTGAGTCCCAATGTCCTTTCCATTACTCTTGGTTCCCTGTGCATTTCCATTCATTTCAATTAGTTTAGCCTTCATATGTTCCTCTAATTTGTGACTAAAATCAACCAGTTCTGTGAGCATCCTGATCACCAGTGTTTTGAACAGTGCATCTGAAAGTTTGGCTATTTCTTCATCCTTTAGATTTTTTGGCTCTGGGGCTCTGAATTCTTGAGCCATGTTTTCATCTGTCCTCCCTCGACTGTCACGTATGAGGAGAGGCACCTTAGGTGTTCACCAGGGCGGGGCCACCCAGGTCGCTGGTTTGTGATGTTGTATGTGGGGGTGGGGTCAGAGAGGGAGCAATGGCGGTCTTCTCCGCTCACCGATCTGCCTCACCACTCGCCCTTGCCTGTTTATCTGAGTGCAAATGTGTGAGCCTGCTGCCCTGTGCCGGGGGCCTTCGTGGTCTGTCTCAATGCACATCTCTTCACTGGTTTATCTGCGCACAAATGCGTGACCTCAGACAGCCAGCTGCGCCCGCCACGCCCTGCCGTAGCTACCCGGCACCTGGGATCCCTGCCCTCGGCTGCTTGCCTGCCGCCTGGGTTGGGGGGATCGTTTTTGCCCGACTGGCTCCGCTGCTGGCTTCGCCCCTCTCACCAGTTTAGCTGAGTGGTTTACTGTTTTTGGACTCCGTATTGTTCGATTTTCTGTGGTTTAGTTGCATTTATTGTTGTTAAAACTTTGTTGTTTTTAGATTTGGTTGTGCGAGGAAGCAAAGTGTTTCCACCTACGCCTCCATCTTGGCGGAAGTCCGATAAAGAGGTTTTTTTTATAGTAGAAACAGTAAGATTTAGTTTGTGTATATATTTCTTTGATGATCTTTTTGTCTTTTAATGTCTAGGAGATTGGGTAGCTAGCAAATCCTGTAAGTTATCTTCTCTAAATGTTGTTTCTGTTCTCTATTGATCAAAGCTTGTGGAAATGAAGTCATACCTGGTATGAAGAACAGAACTCATCCGTATTGTTAGTTGAATACAGATATTTGGCTTATCTCAGTTAACCTTTCCCAGAAGCCTGTGCAGTAGACATTTTTTTTAACTTCAATTTTGAGATGAAGGAAAAGTAATAAGAAGACAGCTGAAATTCAAACCCTTGTTTTATAACTTCCAAGTCTTTCTTGTTTTCACCAATCTTCTTTCCTCGACAGATCATTTAAGGGGCCTTAAGGTATGTCTTCTTTCTCCATCACCATGACCTGTTAGTATATGTGGTTATTTAATATAAGTAGAAACACATGATTAGCTCACTGGTGCACAGATACCGGCTGCTATGGAAACCTTTTTTTTTTTTCTGAAGGAAACAACAGTTTTGATCATAGCAAGAGTGATACTGACATTACTATATATCGGGCACCATTTTAAGTACTGTGTGTGCTGATCTCATAAAAATTTTACGAGGTGGGTGTCCCATGAGAGACATTTTGTGGATGTGGACATAGGGGCCCAGAGTAATTAA